TTTCAGTTTGTAAAATTTTGACAGTTTCATTTAATTTCTCAATATTTGCCAATGCATCAGTTAAATTAGCTTGTAAATCCTCATTTTCATCAATTTTTCTGGATAGTTGTTGACGTAAATCCATAGTATGTTCTGAATTTTCAAGACGTGATGCTGATGCAGATCTAGTAGATTTCTTAGGTCCCATATTACTGACTTTCTTCTAAAACCTGAGTGTCATCGTCTAACATAGAAGCACGTAATTTTGCATTATATGATTTTAATTCACTGATTTCATTATTTTTCATTTCTAAAATTTCATTCACTTTGTTACAAAAATCACTAAATGCACTTGTTAGATTTTCACTATGACTAACTCGTTCTTTGGAGATATTTCCTATTTCTGAACAGCACAAAGAAACAGTCTGACGCAATGATTCTAATTCCTTTTCCATTTTGTAAGTCCATTACACTCAAAAGTAGAAAATTTCAAAGTCTTTATCCCGATGCTGAAGCATGTTAAAGTCCTTATCCCACCGCTGCCACCAGTGTTACGAAAACTTCTCTTTTTGTGAAAAGTTTAGTTTATTCACTCTTTTCGCTTAAAAGTAAACCATTTCTCTATGCTGGTATAATGAACAAGTCAAGTCCAAGTGAAAGCAGGATTATATTTATTGCAGTAAATCAAAATAATGCATCATTTTATTTTCTATCAACAGTCAAAACCAAAGTAAAATTCTTAACAACTTCAACAAATACATTTCTTCAATTACTAACTAACTCAACTCAACCAACTCCAACTCAAAACCTCAACTCACTCCAAAAACTCCTCAAAAACCCACCCAGCTAGAAAAGTTCCCAGCTTATATACCCTTCTGTTTGCGCAGCTAGGGTGGTGTGCAAAAGTAGACTGTCGCGCGACCCACTTGCGCTAACCAGTTTGGCACACAACTCATTGCGCGACCTGAATGTTGCGCAACCTATTAAAAGTGCTGACAATGCCTTAACAATGTTCAAAATGGCCTGCAACTGGTTCAGGTATACAATACAAACATAAGTACAAAAATACATAATAGTTATATAAATTTACATGTTAACACTCAATAGGATAATTATTATCTGTCCAATAATGCAACTTAATACATGTAATAGTGCAAAATACACTTGTATTAATAAAGATATATGTACTATATATGGCTTATAAGACCTATACACTTACTACTGATTGACAATTCTATAAACTAATAATACTGACTGATAATTCATTAAACAACAGAAATATAATCTCTCCAGCTTTACAACATACAGCTCAACATTTGAACCAAGTAACCTGTACATAGATAAAGCTGCGTAAGGAATCCCATTCATAAAATCTGATATGACCAAATTATTGTTTGTAAACAACAATTGAGATGCTGAAGGGCTAAAAATAACTTAAACCTTGTACTTTTAGTCTGCGCGACCTCTTATTGCGCGACCTCTCCATATTTGGACTAGCATGCCTGGTAAAGCTGATTCTGCGCGACCTTTCCTATTGCGCGACCTTAAGTGTCGCGCGACCTTTGTCTGCGCGACCTTTCCAAATTTGGAATGAGGTATGCTCATAATCTAAAAATAACTGAGCTGTGCCAATGTCTTGGACTGTTAATGACTCAATTGTTTTACAACAAAAAATGAGTAAAAGTTAACATAAACATTTTAACCAGCTTAGAAAAAATGTTGTCCAGATATACCATCCTAAAAGAATACTCTTCTAGTAACAGACTAGTTTCAAATTTCACAACAGTATTATACTGCACAATTTATGGTTCAAACGCTTTGTAATTAATCACTCAGGTCTATAAGCTGTCTGCACATATGAATTTGAACCGTACATTATTCTGCAGCAAAGCACTCAAAATTGATCTATTTCCTAAATATTGTTTATAAATTAAAAACATTGTGTATGAATGAACAATTTTGTGAAAGAACAAACAATATTTTGATGAATTATAGGTTGATAAACATTGAACTGTACAATATAGAGCTGGTGAAACCATATCGAACAAGCCTTCACAAGCTGCGTATGAGCACAAATAATATTTCCATATTGTACCACTGTTCAATGTTTAATAACTGATTTATTCTATATCTAAATTTTAAATGAGCCGCCTCATGACAAAACCAACATAATGGGTTTGCGACAAGCATGGATCCAGACCAGCCTGCGCATCCAAACCCTATTACAAGTAGAGAAACTGATAGCGAAAAGCATGGATCCTGATCAGACTGCGCGGATGCGCAGGCTGGTCTGGATCAATGCTGGTCGCAAACGCATTACGTTGGTTTTGTCGTGACGAGGCTCAAATCATATTGAGGAAATACATAATCTGATTGAATACTTTGATGGATTGACAAGTCAGATCTTTTTCCCAAAATTATAGTATAGTAGTCCCGTCATGAAGACCACTTTTGGGACCACATAGAAGTGGTCTTTTAATTGACTCAGTCTTTATTTTGTAATTTTTTCGTTTTACCGCTATGGCAATATGGTGAATTTAAATTGCTCATGAAAAAAACTATAAGTAGTGTTAGTTAAATCATCATACCAAGTTTGAAGTTCCTAGGCTTAAGCGTTCTTTAGTTATTGATCGGAAACCGTTTTTACCTACAAGGTCAATGTGACCTTGACCTTTGACCCATTGACCCCAAAATCAATAGGGGTCATCTGCTGGTCATGACCAATCACCATACCAAGTTTGAAGTTCCTAGGCCTAAGGGTTCTTTAGTTATTGATCGGAAACCGTTTTTACCTACAAGGTCAATGTGACCTTGACCTTTGATCCTAAAATCAATAGGGGTCATCTGCTGGTCATGACCAATCACCATACCAAGTTTGAAGGTCCTAGGCCTAAGCGTTCTTTAGTTATTGATCGGAAACCGTTTTTACCTACAAGGTCAATGTGACCTTGACCAGGCCTCGACATTAGCGGTGGTCGGTTGGTCCGAGACCACCTGATTTTGGCAAGAACCACCTAATTTTGAAAGCAACTGGTCCGTCGGACCACTTGAATTTTCTGGTTGGTGCAAGAATGGCGATTTGGACACAAAAAAAACCATGTTATAAACTTTTTGTTTTAAATCATTTGTCCTATGTTCATGTTTATGGTTCATTAATCTCTGATTAGTTAAAGAAGTTTTTAAGTCATCAATAATTTTCATTTTAAGTCGCTAAAATTTTGTTTATGCAAGTTAAAAGAGTTAAGAATTTGTGATATTAAATTTTGTAGAAAATTCATTTCAACGTTATGCTAATAATTATGATATTGTTTGGAATATCGGATGAACTAAAATTTCAAATACTTTAATCATGGCAGCAAAAGAAAGCAAATGGAAAAATATATCAACTAATTATTTGTTTCTTATCTTTTATAACGATAAGAGATCCATTGTTTCCAGAGTAAAAAATACTTAGATAAAAGGTAAAAAGAAATCAATGTCAAAAATAAATAAAAACCAACAAGCAACAGGGAGGTAAAAATTCTGTATTCAGAATAAATATGTGAGAAAAATAAGAAATACTATAGTTATATAATTATAATGTTGGTATTTTTTATCCTTTAGATATTTTCCTTACTTACAAGGTCAATGTGACCTTGACCTTTGACCCCTTGACCCCAAAATAAATAGGGGTCATCTACTGGTCATGACTAATCACCATACCAAGTTTGAAGTTCCTAGGCCTAAGGGTTCTTTAGTTATCACTCGGAAACCATTTTGGTCTACGGACCGACGGACCGACAAATGCAAAGCAAGATACCCCCTCTTCTTCAAAGTGGGGGCATAAATATCAACTTGTATGAAAATGGATAAAGATTCATCTTTTCTTCCATTTTACACATACTGTATTCAGGGCTTGAATCTTTTGTGGTAACCAATAATAACAGAAAATAAATTGTGAGTTTGCTTGCTTGACAATCTATTAAGTTAATTGTTAAACTAGTAAGTTGGCCAAAAAATCATAGGCTGATGTATTTGGTTACAATACAAGCAAATTTTTGTTCAATTCCCATTTTAGCTGATTTATTTAGAAGGAAGTCAATGCTGACTATGAATGAAAATCACCAATTTACAGGCTATACACCAGTAATTGCATCAATCAGGTTTTTCTAAAGTAACAAATCACATGCTTCATTATATAGACCACATAAATAGCCTGATTACCATCATACTGTGACCAAACAAACAGCTATCTAATAAAGTTTCCATCATCTTATTTTCCCCTGAAAAGTATATTTTTTTCATAATATGACCTGTCATTTAGTTAATTTCCAACCAATTATTGCTATACTGTATGCGATTATAATAGCTTTTTTTATTATCACCCTGGTGATTAAAAGCATTGACAAACAGCAAAACCAATCTGCACCTCCTCCAATGTCCTCTATACATGTATAAATAACATTTGATTTTCTGTCTAGATCTCATTTAGTACTTGGTCTTTTATTTCAGTAATGAAGCACCCAATGGTGAATATTTTCTCTGGAGAATGTTCTGTAAATGATACCCATTAGCGCCTTTTCTGCTGACCAAAGCTGTCCATCAAAGTAAATGTTACATGCCCATATGAACCCCAATGTAGCTCTTAAATTCATCAGACAAATTTATTTACGGTCTGACAATCAGAAATGTTTTCTTTCTCCACATGGACAAATGACAGACAGCAAATTTATTAGCTAAATAATTGTCAGACTTTGGGGGAAAAAAGCCCAATCTGCTTTCATTAGTTGGCATGGTACTAGTATATTTGTAGTGACGCAGATAGAAATCTGTGTAGGCACACAAATTATAGATGAAACTGCACTCTAAAATTACAAAGTAACTAATAGTATGTGTAAACAGCATCAACAACTACACAAACTTTCAGTCCTTTCAGTGAACTGGTAGTAACAAATAAGAAGTCAATTGCAAATTCTTAAAATTCCCTTTAATATAATTATGAACTAAGTAGGTGATTTTTGCAAAACTCACTAATGTCATACCTTACAATATCCCCTTGTACACCAACAATTCTCTTCACTGCTAACTGTTTGGGATCATATGGGGTACTGAAAATAGAAATTTTATAAATTATAGAGGTTTCTAGTTGTCATTACACTCACTTAAATTTCAACAATTGATGCTTAATCTAATACACAAATTCTTCTTCAAACAACATATCTAAATTATACTAATTAATGCTATTATGCTATTAAAAACTAAAAGTTAGTGGTTCCAAATTGTGATAGATGATAAGCATGATGATAGGGCAAAAGAGCTCCTCCACTTCATCCATCAATGTAAACCTGTGATGTCATTAAAACCGTTACCAATTTATCACCCAAAACAGAGTGAAACCATTATTCTACTGGCCACTACAAAATCTTCCCTATTCACTCAGTATAACACTGACTGAATAATGGATAGTGCAGACCATGGTTCGACTCCCCGGATGTGCTAGCTGTTCTTGGTCTGCACTGGTCACATGGGTTTATTCAATTGCTGACGACAGGCAGGTTAATCTCTTTAATAACACTGTATTTTAAAGTACCCCTGACACAATACATTATTATGAAAGAGTATAAAAAATCAATTTCCACGAAAAAAAAAATCTAAAAGTTTGAAACAGAGAAAAAAAGATTGGATTTTTTGCAGTAACAAAAGGGAGATAAAAAGGTATAAAAGAAAAAAAGAAGATAAAACTATAAATCACTCTGAACAAAGGAAAAGAAATTCCCATGCCAATTATGACATTTAATTAATTACAGGAAGGATGAGAAGAAGGATAAATTGCTAGAAAATTCTCATTTAACTTTTTTTCTGTTTTCTAGCTTTTAGAAATCAATTAGCAAACTTTAACTACCAGAACAAGAATCAACAGTTCTGTTTTCAAGTAATACAACTTTTTTTTCTCTATAGCCCTTGCTCTGGAAATATTTCCGGAATTTGCTAAATGGAGGTGAAATCATCATTAGTTGGGGTGATTTTTTCCCTTTTTCTCTTTCAAAGTTAAGCCTATCAATTTCATTTAAACACTTTAAAGTCAGACGCAGTCCATTTTTAAAATGGGGACCAAAATTTCAACAGTAATTTGAGTAAATGAACTGCTTTAAATGAGTTCTTTTGAAAATATATTACTTCTACAATATGTTTAACTGGAATGATAGCAGTCTTTTGCTGACCTTAAGCAATATTGTCCTATCAATTTAAGGCTCAGTGTCTCTGCAACCTTGACCTTTGATTTACTGACCTGCATGAAATTTTCTTGGGAGCTTAGAGATCAATCAAATTTTTAACCATCTAGCTATTGGCAATTATATGGCATCTGGAGCTGCTTAATTTATATATAATGTATATGTATAAATTAAGTTCTGAGGAAAATCAACCTTGACCTTTGTCATATTACTCTACAGAATGGTAACTGTCACATCAAATTTATATGAAGTTTGACAACTGAGTGTATCAAAAGATCATTGCACTGACATGTTAAGAGTATCAAACATTTAGATTTAAAATTACACATACAATATATCTCTATTTTCAATAAATTCATAAACTGCCAAAATTATTTGTAATTCCACGATGAAGTAATTTAATATAAAGATTTTTTCCAAATAGATCATGCCAAGTGAACTTGAAACACTGCAGTTTTTCAGTTCATCATTAGACATGATCTAGTTAACAAAGACTGACAAATGGCTTTGTACCAACTTATGCTAAATATTCCCAGCAAAACAAATACAAAGGAATCTAGCAAAAATCATTACTTTTTATAAATAACAAGACATTATGTGATGTTTTCTAAGGAAAAAAATAAAACAATGTAAATAAAAACAAAATTATTTACAAAAGTGCCAACTTTCAATATAAAATCATCAGATTGTATGGTGAAGCATTTACTGACATAAAATACCATACCATACATTTCTAATAACAGTTATATGCATAAACAAGAGGGCCATGATGGCCCTGAGGTCGCTCACCTGTATATAGGCCCCCCAACCCCCCCCCCCAACGTTGCAGGGCCAATTTAACCCAAGGGCTTTTATTTGCACAAACTTGGTAGACACCCATAAGAAGATGTTTCATGCTAAACATCTAAGCTTTAGCTCATTGGGCTTTTTAAAAGAAGATTTTTTTAAAGTTTTTACTATACACATATAGTTAAAAACAATGACACCCCAGGGGCCGGGCCAGTTTTGACCCCAGGGCTTTTATTTGAACAAACTTTGTAGACACTTACTAGAAGATGTTTTAAGCTTAATATATATCTAAACTCTAGCTATTTGGGTTTTTTCAAAGAAGATTTTAAGTTTTTGCTATACACATATAAAGAAAATCAATGACCCCCGGGGCGGGCCAATTTTCACCCCAGGTCTTTTATTTGAACAAACTTTGTAGACACTCGACACTTAGTTAAAAGATGTTTCATGCTTAATATCTTAACTCTAGCTATTTGGGTTTTTTCAAAGAAGATTTTTTAAGTTTTTGCTATATGCATATAAGGAAAATCAATGACCCCCGGGGCGGTGCCAATTTTGACCCCAGGGCTTTTATTTGAACAAACTTGGTA